AGAGAAAAAAAAATAGCTAAAATGCTTATTTTAGAAAGAGGTAAACTTAAAATTTCTGCAGGAATTTTCTAGTTTCAACTGTAGTTTCCATTGCTAATCTGTCATGCTTTTATCTATCTTAATCTGACTGTGCTAATCTAATAATGTTAATCTATCGTCTTTGTTATTTTATGTGTGAGAGCTGCTATACAAATTAAATTTTACTTACTTTTCAGACACTCTAAAGTATTTCTTGTTTTCAACAGGCAAGAGTTCAGGATTACAGCTAAATCTGCTTTGTTTTTGCTTGTCTTACTTTATTTTTCTCACCTCACTGTACAATTGTTTTGAACAATTCAGTGGCTGTGATTGGGAACCAATTATGTTTAGTCTTTTTGTTTTTGATACCATCCAAATCATACTCTGTATCTGTTCCATTTGTATGACATGTATGACTTGTAACATTTGATAATTTTTCGGCATTGAAGCCTGTTTTTATATATAACCAAATCTCCTTTCTCAAGAGGGGCTAATTAAATTATAACTTGTTAAGTTGCTTTATTTTTAATCCACTTTTAGCTTTGTCATGTTCTGGACGGCTGAGATCAAATATCAAATATCTGGGAAGTATCATAACTTAAACATAACGCTTAAAGCACCAGGGTTTATACAGAAAAATATTGAGATTTATTTTAGTGGTTTTAAAGGCTCTATATTGAAGACGGTGAGAATTAGGCATAACTTTCTGTTTCTCTATATGTTCTGGGCTCTCACACAGAGCTGTCAGCCCCTCCCTCCTGTTTAAAACTCTGCTTCTAACGTAAGAGTTAAAGGGCTAAATATGTTTGAGATATTTGCTACCTTTGACAAAAAACCTTAAGTCTATGAAAGCAATGTAGCAGTTTTGTTAGTTATGATTTCCAAGGCATAACAAGGCTGTTTATCATGATTCAGGCCTTCCGCTCCCATCCGAATACCACAGGTAACCTACTGTTACAAATTCCCTAGTATTGCTGTCTATTTGGCCGTCTTTGTTCAATGCTGGTGTACAAAAACAAAACAAAACAAACAAAAAAACTAGCATTTTACATCAGGCGCCTTGTTGGGCAGCTAAGGGGTCGCTAAGAAATTATATATTGATCGGTTGGCGGCAGTTATTTTTTGTTACATTCATACCGTTTGTGATGAAAGAGGGGCATAACGATCGCTAAATATTGCTTTGGTATGCTAACGAGGTGCTGTACTTCAATGCTAGTTTTAGCTAATGTTACTTAGCAACTTGTTTATTTAATCTCTCTAATTTCTGCTCTAATATTAGCAGGGGTTACCTTTGCAGTAATAGCATTAATTTCTAGCTATGGACACCTTTTGCCACCCCACAGACACTGCTAATGTGTAAAGAAACATTAACTTTTAGAATGTTGTTCCTCACTTTCATTCAATATTAAATTGTTACATTTGTTTAGCATAAATGCTGCTTGAAACCTTCTGATTTTAGTCGGCCAGGTGCGGTTTGAAATGTTAATTGTCAAAAACGTTTCCATTTTGCTCTTGCTATGCTAGAGCGACAAACAAGAAGCTTTATAAATCGCCAATAAGAGAGATTAACATGGGAAATTACATTTTAATACATTATCTTATGTAATAAATTAAAAATAGGTTAGATTTTATGCAAATAATATAATTAAAATGCAATGATTATTGATTTTTATTATTATTTCTCTTCCCTCCACCTTTCTGACCCCCCACCCCCGGTGGCTTGAAGAGGCGTTCACAGCTAACAAACAGTAATTACTACACAGGGAGATGAAGGTCACACATTTGATGATGCCACAGTAATGTCTGCTGGTGTCTGTGACAGGAAGCTGCATGTGATTCCTGCTGACAGCTTCCTGTTGAACTTTGCGTCTCACATGAGGAACCCTGATGGAACCTGGAAGACGCCTCCTCCTCCGTACGCGCCCATCCAGACGGCAGGTAGAAGGTCTTCCTTCAGGGTTCATTTATGTTTTTAATATGTACATAGAGACACTCCACTTACTGGAGTGATGCTAGTTGCCACTAGGTGGCCAGAGTGTGTCAGAGCTGCCACGGCTGCTGCTGCTGGTGTTTTGGGGGAAACGCTGGAAAACGTTTTAGTTCTGTTGCCTCTTTTTAAATAATTATTTTTGAGATGATGATGTCACCAGCTGTTGCCGCTGCATCTGTTCTTTTTGTTGTTCATTTGTTTGAAATAACATTATTCATATTCTGCATTCAATCTGACATATAAGCTGTGGTTTACTCACAGCTGACAGCAACCACTTCCACGATTTGAGCTTGCTGTCTCTCCAGCGTGGGTTGCTAGGTGACGGGACTGGACTTGGCGGGGGTTGCTAGGTAACGGTGCAGTTTCAGTGATTAAGACTCAACAACAATCAGGAACTGCATTTCAAAGGTTTTTCAAATGGCTCGTTTTCCAGATGACAAAAAAATGGCGGAGTGTTTTTATTTTTTAAGTTCTTGGGCTGTTCTTAGAAGCAGTTGACCCAAATGAAAGTACAAAAAATGTGCATAATGTGAATTTTGCATTAAAGGTAACCTTTAAATTTCAGTAGAAATAAAAAAATGTTGCCTGAATTAGCTGAATAAACACCCATTGTTTAGTTTTCTGTGCACAGATCATCTAAAGATTCCTGAAATAGGTCAAATCTAAACTTGATAAATGGCCCGTGTTTGTTTAGCACTTTGTCTAATCCAGATAACTCTAAAGCACTTTACATTAAATCATTCATTCACCCACCCATTCTTTCACACAATCACACACTGATGGTGGTCTGTCTGCTGGCTGACAGAATTAGGTTCTTAATCTCACTGAGATTAAGAAGAACACGGAGAAGAGGCAACGTCTCATGAAAACAAAGACAACAAAGTTTAAAAATAGAAGAAAAAATGCATTTCTTTAGAGTAACAAAAAAAAAAATCAGAAGCAGCCACCATCATATTCCAAAGCAGAGATAATGAAGCAAAGATAATAAAAAAAAAGTAAGAAACAAATTAGAATAATTTAACCTTAATTTTAAGATTTTAGCTGTTTAAGGGTTTCATTGTTCTTAAATGCAAACAGAAACAGATTCCTTATATTTGGGTTACATTTTATTTGCACAGAGCCAAATCACACCAAGCCTAAAACAGATGATGAATTATTTTAATGATCTTCAAGAAGCTGAAAAAAGTGCAGTCAAATAAATATAATTTATTTATTGTTTGATCACATATCAGACTGTATTTTTCTTCTCCAATAATTGCCATAAAAGTGTATTTTTATTATTTAATCTAGACATCACAGCTCTTCATACTGACATTTCCAATGCCTTGGTTTTTAAAGGATTTGTTTAGTGCATCCCTCCAAGTCTCAGCTGTCTTTTTTTCTCAACAGATACTTGAAATCACTGTAATAATCTTCCTTAAAGGTCTTACCTACACCTTTCTCCGCTTTCTGTTTATGAAAGAAACGGGAAGCGTTTTGTTCTGTTTTATATCAGTGTGTCCTGCATTTGTTCCATCTGAAATAAATACACACATCTGTCATTCCAAAGTCTGTCATTGTGTTCATATATTTATTAATGAATGGAAGAAATGGGTTGAAGTTTTTCTTCCTGATGAGGTTAATCCAGAACTGGTCATTTGTTTTGTAACTGAGGAGTGGCTTATGGTACTTTAGGGTGTGTTTAGTTTTTAAATGACCTCACTGCAAGAAACAGACGGTGATCAGCTTTAGACATTGTAGAGCAACATCCAGGTAAAGTAAGCAATTTTCATTACAACATATTTTGTTAGAAGGTGAACTATGATCCACCTATTAATAGCTTTTAGCTATCAAATAACTTTTGTATCGTAATCTGAAAACATTTTTAAGAGACTGATTAATTTGGGTCTAAAATGTTTTTACTCTAAACTTGGATTATTTTTGGAAACCTTATATCTGATGTGGGAACATAAAAATATCTAAGTACTAAAATTAAACTGGACATTAAGTGAAGTGAATCTTGTTTTGCATTATTTTGAAATATTCATATTAAAAGTAATTACGACCAATAAATACTTAATGATAATCTTAAAGTGTCAATTCAACAAGCAGATAACTCAATGAAAAAAGTAAACGTTATTAATTTTATATTGTTGATCAAGCATAGAAGCTGAAAGACTGAACACATTTCCATACGTCTATGGAAATGTGGTGTCGGTGAAAAGGCGTCCATTTTGTTTGATGTAAATGCTGTCACTTGCTAATTGTTTTGCTCACACAAAGTGATCATTTCCATTCTCTGCTATCCGTTGGATTATAGTGTCGCTTCAGCGAACGCTTGCTTGCCAACCGCAACTCTAACCAAGATGGAGGATCAGGAGGAGGAGGCTGGAGCACAAGTCTTCTCATAGCAGCCGCTGCTATTGGTGCTTATACAGGATTAACTTCAGCATATGAGAATATAGGTAAGGACACAAGAGAAATGCAATTCAGGCTAGTTACATAGAAACATATACTTCTGCAGTGCAAATTTGTAAACGTATTTAATTACAGCTGTAAGGTTTTTATATAAATTAAAAGCTCTTGCTTCAGGATAATTTTTAAGAGTAAGTAACAGCACAGTCCTAACATGCAAAAATACACACTAGTGTAGCAAAATACAAATAAATCTTAGGTTTAAAACTATGGGCTTAAAATATGTTTGTATCTATGTAATATATTTATGGTATATATGTATTGTGCATGTTTTAATATTGAATTCTTCCACACTTCCATGCAGTTTTGTGCTTATCATATGACCTATTTTAGAAAATAAAGCTAGCACTGGTTTTATGTAATCTCGATGTTCACTGGGTGACAAGTATTGCCTTGAATATTTATTCTAGATGAGCGTTACTGTAGCGTTTGGTATTTTGAGCTGCATAGACATCAAGGAATTAATTTGAAGTTCACCTTCAGTATTGACAGAGAAAAACTAAAAAAGTTCAGAGCATGAGTGTTCACTTAGAAACGCTGTATGTCAGGGCGCTACATTAGGCGTAGCTCATCAATACAACACAGTACAATCCACACCTTACAAAGACACATTAACATATTTTTGGCACTAATGGATCCCTTATAAATATTGTTTTTCTTTATTTGGTCAACCTACTCCAGGGTAGTTTAGCTTCCTGAGTAGAAGATCACATTAAGCACTGCTTTGACAAATTTGTTATCTAACAAATATTTTGTTTGGATTGTCTTTATTAAATCTATGCGAGGTTTGCTTTTTAAATTGAATTACTGAAATAAAATGGCTTTTTAATGACATTCTAATTTATTCAGATATTCATAGTCTGTTAACAAAAGTAAGGTGGCTGGAAACATAATCTCCTTTCAAAGTGCTCTAAAATCTTAAACCTGCTGTTATATTCATGTTAGTCTTGGTGTCTTTCCTGGCAGTGAAGAATCACAAGGAGATGAGGAGGAGGAGAGAGCTGGAGCTGCAGAGGATGAACAAAAATGTTTGTATTTTACACAGTTGAGTCTTCATTTTACACTTTGTGTGTTGGAATATAAAAAGGGAAATGATGATGTTTCTTCATAGATAGACGTGCTGGAGAGACTCCTGGAAATTAGACAAGAAGTCTTCTGCAGCTTCATCATTCCAAAGTTTTTCCGGGAGCAGCTGGAGGAAGAGATCATGCACACAGCAGACACTTTGGTGTTGGAGCGCGATGTCAGGAAAGATTTGGAAGAAATCTTTCGTGTGGATGACAACTGTGCTTCTGATTTTCTGAGCGTAGTAACCGGAATTGAAATGAGTCACGGGAAACAAATGTGGGAAAAAACAGGAGAATGGAGGCGAGATCTTAGGAAGACCATTCAAGAGGAAGGCTTTGAAAACGTGAGTATGACTACAAATTATTTTATTTTAGCCTTGATATAAACAATATAACTATGAATATCAACCCAATCATGTACTGAAGGTTATTTGCAAATATTTCTCCTTGTTCATCTACAGCTTCTTCAAGATTTATAGAGGTGCTTAAATGTTCAGCTGCAGCTTGAAAGGAACTTCGCCACAAAACTCACAACGTAACTTTTTGGGTGTTTGGTTAAAAATTATCTATAGTTATATGTTATAAAGCTCTTTTTGTTGCTTTTATTTCCCATATCCCTAATTCAGTTTGGTGGCTGTCAGTTCAATTCCTATTAGAATCAAATTACATGTTTCCTGTCGTTTTAGTTTTTGCAATAACATATTGGAAAAAGTAACCGCTAAGATCTTACACTATGTGACATGGAAGCAACTTGATAAAAATACATATTTTGTAACCTAAAACCTGAAAATAAACCTGATTATCAGTGGTGCTACAATGAAGCTAATCACATCTGAGCCCCTTAAATACTTGGATATGTTAATGTAAAGCTCTGTGACCTCAGTAATAGTCTTTTCTTTGTGGCATGTGGTTGTGGGTGAGGGGGCTTACAGCAGATGGGCAGGTTTTAGGGCCTGTGAGGGGTTTGAGTCTCCAATCAAGGCAACAATAGGACAGCTGAGAAAAGCTCCAGCTGCTGTTCAGAAAGTGAGACCCAGCAACAGACAACAGATGTGCTGCTGTTGTGGAAAAGAACAATGTTGTGCTGTTATGAAGATTTATTCAGCTTAAAAACTGGGGCATATGTAGATGTGTGTGAAATAACAATAAAAATCTATCTAAAAAAATAGAACGACAAACGGTGTTTTCTTGATTTCTAAAAAAAAGACGATGAGAAAACAAACACGGCATTTTTGTTTTTATCTTAAAAGTGTTTCAGAACTTTTCATAAAATGCTGAGTGATTTTATTTGGGGTTTTGATACGATGGTCCTGATTTATAGACAAAAGAAGAAAAGAAAAAGAATAAGAAAGAAGACAGGAAAAGAAATAATGAAGGAAAATAAAAAGTAAAAAAGACCATGGAAAAAGAAGAGAAAGTGAAAATAAAACACTAAAAGAAAAGAGAAAAGAAAGCGAACAAAAGAAAATGTATAAGTAAAAGAAAGAAAAACATACATTAAAAGTAAAGGAAAGAAAATGATAAAAGAAAAAAATTATAGATAAAAATTGAAGAAAGAGAAAAAGGGAAAACAGAAGAATCGTGATGTCACTGGCGGAGCTTCTCTCTCTCTCTCTCTCTTGCTCTTTCTCTCTCTCTCTCTTGCTCTCTCTCTTTCTCTTGCTCTTCAGTCTGACTCGAAGCTAACAACTAACCGGAACCGTAAAAATGCTTTTGGACCCATAAACAGAGTAACGGCGGCTCTGCTGGCCTCAGTCCCGGCTCTTTGAACTCTTATCGGGTCAGCTGGCCTGTTGCAGGGTTCGGGTTCTGGTTGCTTGACGGTGGACGGGCTGGATGGCCATGTAGCTCCGTTAGCATGTCTCGGCTGCTGGGCCACTTTCTCCACCGTTAGGCTCATTAGCAGCAGTCCGCCTGTTAGCGCTCCTCTGTGGGGGGGAATATCTATTTGTGTTGCAGTTAGATAACCGTATTTCATCTCAACATGTGTCGGAGTGTTGAACCAGCGGAGCTTATTCCCGTTATGAATCCTTTAACCAGCTAGTAAGAACCGCAGCGCTGCTAGCTGAAGCTAACGGGCTCGGATGTCTTTGTTTCCAGCGGCGCAGGTCAGCTGCGGCCGTTAGGGGAGGATTTTATGGAGATTTTAATGCGTTGAGGCTGGGATCGGGTGTTTTTTATTTTTTATTTTTAATGTGGTCAGCTGACATGCAGCGCTCCCTTCCGTGACCTTGGTATCATCGCATCAGATCGATCAGAAAAAGCCCAACAGCTGGTTCCGACTCCAGGGTTATTATGGCCCTCAGTTCAGACTGCAGGCAGAGGGTCGTCTACCTGCTGCTCCTGTCAGGTAAGAGCTCACTTCCTGGGTTCAAATGGGTCAGGAAGCATTTGTTTAATCTCTGAATTAGTGTAAAATTAATCAAATTATTTAGTTATTGAGCTCTATTCTATTGTAAGCAGATTGTCATCTCATTACAAACATTAAAATCTCCCCTCTAGTTTCGATTTTTATTATATAAAACTGTAAAGATCCTTAAAAATTGATAACTATTTTGTATTTCTGGTAATTGCTCCTTAATGTGATGATTTTTTTTTAGGTCTCTGACAATAACGATAAATGATCCTAGTAGTTACTGCAATAAACGATAATATTTTCAAGTTATATGGCATAAAAATGCAAGAACATTTTGTTCTCAAAGATCAATAAACTTTAAATTCTAATGAACAAGTAACACTGGAACTGGAAGACATTTTAAATATTCAAAAGAAATGAACAAAACAGAAACAACAGATAAAATGAATAATGAAGTCTCTGTAAACAAAATTGTCCTTAAAAAAAAGGTGAGTTGAGATTAAAACTCCAAACTGAAGAGTTTTATCATCCAGTTTTTGGTAAAAAGAGAGAAAAGCGACAAATTATATATGAAAATTATTGAGCTTGTTTTAATTTATGATGCGATTAATTGATTTGTTGTGACAGGTCTCATTATGTTGCATTAAAAAAACCTTTAAATGAAGATGTGACTTTTCCTGGTAAATACTAGTTTCAGTTTTTTCCCCCTGATTTATGACAATTTTTTGTATCTATTTGGATTTTTTGTCTACAATCTATAGATTTTTTTTAAAAAATGTGCTGGTTATTGGGATATTTCAATGTATGTAATTCAGTGCAATTTCTTTCATCTGAGGGTGCAATATATGTCATAAATTAGTTATTAGTTGTTTTTAATCAAACAGAAATTGGAGAAATTTTAAAAATAATTCCAATTTATGCAACAAAGTATATTTGTCACCTTAAATTATTTTAAATTAACATTTTAAAAAAGTTTAAAAAGTCCCTGCTGTTAGTTTACAATTTAAGAGGCAGCCTATTTTAACTTCACATTCACATTTTTTTAAATAAAACTTTAAATTTTATTGTCACGTTTATTTGATCAGGTTAAATTTTGGCTGTTTTTTAAATAAATCACTGCAAAACAAAATGCTTAACAAAATGCTCTAAAACTGCGTGATTTTGCAGTTTTTTATTAGTAATTTTTTAAAAATGAAGCTCTTGGTTATAATAAAACTAAAGTATATTTTATTTTCTGCTCGGTGAGCCGACCGTAGCTCGCTCCTCACCATGCATGTGTAACGCTGGACTTAAAGGTTCAGATCCACATTCAGCTCAGCGGTGACAGAATCATTTAAACGTTCAGAAATCCGTGCTCTCTCTCTCTCTCTGTGTCTCTCTCTCTCTCTCTCTGTCTCTCTCTCTCTCTCTGTCTCTCTCTCTCGTTGTTGTTGTTGCATTAAGCCAGTGTTTACCAGTGAAATGAGAACGCCATAATCCTCCACAGGAAAAGCATTAAAGTGATGCACTGCAGGGATATAATCAGATCATCAGCATAATGCTATTCATCGCAGTATTATTCTTCTGACTGTAATGTTTATTGTGGGAAATATTTCTTTACTTATTTAATAAAAACTTTATATTTTTAGTTATTTTAAGAGTTCTGCTTTGAAAACACAGATTGCTCTTTCAAATGAAGCTGTTTCATTTAAGCATTTCTGGCTGATTACTATAATAAAATAATCTGTTGTTTGTTCTTTAGAATAAGCCTAATACGTCTGAATGTGCTGTTCAGTGTTCCCCCTGTTTCTCCCAGGATGCATTGCTTCTTCTCAGAGGAATGACAACGTCTACGTGTCTGGATTCTCTAACGGTGCGTTCAGAGTCTCTCAGCTGTCGGTGTTTAGCGATTCCTGCGGTGAAACTGTAACAGAAGTCGTCTTCCCTCCATGCAGCCTGCGGCGACATGGCCGAGCTCCTGCGGGCGTCCAGCGGCGTCATCACCAGCCCCGGCTGGCCCTTCCAGTACCCGGCCAGGCTCAATTGCAGCTGGAACATCAGGGCCCGACCCGGGGACTCCATCACCATCAGGTGACAAACGCCACACTGCAAGCTAGCATGTTTCTGGGTGTTAATATCAATTTAAACCCTTCAGTTCGCTTGATCTTCACAAAGCCTGACCTGCTGATTCTGACTGATACTTTTTTTGTCTGAAGTGTCGCTAAATATAGCAAGAAAGTCGCTGAGATTGTGACAGTGGGGTGACTATTGTTGACTGTAAACGAGCAGACATGACCCGGTGGGCCGGTCCTTCAGTCCAGCCTCTGAAAGCAGAGCAGAAAAGGACAGAGGCTGATTTTGTTTTCCTTTGCTGAAGTGGATGAGTGTCTGCCGGCCACCAATCAGTCGTTTTGTCTGTTTTTGGATTTCCACAACAAAATGTCACTAAAAGTAACAACAAAATATATATTTTTTCTTGTCACTGGAAAGTTTCTGCTTTTATTACATCAACATAAAATAAGAAAATGTATCCACAAACTAAGAAAAATATAAGTAAATATTTATATTTATCAGCAATTAATGGTCTTTTTAGGTTGCAGCTCTAAGCGAGTTTTTTTCTGAGGATAAAAAAATGGATCCTTTGCTTATAAAGTTTTCAGACTCCTGATCTGAATCTCACATTTATCTCCAAAGAAGGAAAGTTGGTTTTCCTGAATGTTTTCAGACGCATATTTGGTTGAAGTTCAGGGATTATTTTAGAAAACTGGCCTTTTTCTTGGCCGGCTGCTCGGTTCATGATGTGCTTTTGCTCTTCCTGTGGTCGCCTACTGTCCGTCTGTTCTGGGTTTATTTCAGTGCAGGGGTCAAAGTTCAGGCTGTCGTTCAGGCCTAAAGTTAAACCAGACGACTACAGCCTGTTTCAGAGTTCGCTTTAGGAAACATTTCAAACCTTTTTTACTTCCTGCTTTTTATAGTTAATGTGTTTGTTTGTTAATGCTCTCAGTGTTTTCCTCAGAATTCTGCTTTATTTTTCTCAAATTTTACTTTTTTTTTTTTCCTTTTTCTTTAATTTTGGCTTTTTCACAGAATTCAAATTTTTTTCCTCTAAATTGTGACTTTAGCTTCTGACTCGTTTTCTTCTCGATCTGAAATCAATTCTGATTTAAAAACTCAAAATATTTATATTTTTATTTTTTCAGTGGCCTATTCCTCTCTGGTATTTTTCAGTCATTCTTTTCCAGGATGAAGAACATTTTTATTTATTCTTTTGCAGTTTCCAAGACTTCGACCTGCAGGGCTCTCACCGCTGCACCTCAGACTGGATGTCCATCAGCAGCTACAGGAGCCTGGACGGCCTGCGGGTCTGCGGCTCCTCCCTGCCGCCCCCCTACATCTCGTCCCAGGATCACGTCTGGATCCACTTCCACTCTGACGACGGCCTGGCGGGGAAAGGCTTCCGGCTGTCCTACATCACCGGTGAGGACGGCGCGCTCAGCTCTGGGTCCTTCCCGTCTCCATCATCCTGTGATCTCTGGCGCGTCGTCCTGTTTGTTGCGTAACGGCTGTTCAGAGAGCAGTGATGTAATTCTGGATTAGTCTCAGATGTAAATCCTCAGAGCGCAGACCAAATGGAGACGCCGGGGCAGCACGAGAGATTCCAGCTGCCGCTAATCGGGATGTTGTTGCAGGTAAACCAGAGGCGTCCAGCTGCGATGTGGACCAGTTCCACTGCTCCAATGGGAAGTGCATCCCGGACTGGTGGCGCTGTAACTCCATGGACGAGTGCGGGGATAACTCGGACGAAGAGCTGTGTGTGGACTCGCCGTTTTC